GTTGTTCCCTGTAGCTGGACAGCTGGACATTGCTGGGGAAGGCACACAGTTGTGCCGCCTGGTTTCACTTAAGTCTGCATCAGCCTCAGAGCACCCCTCAGTACTGCCCAGAGGTGCCCGAGCATCGTGATGAAGGCACGCTCCAGCCTCCGGGAACAAGTAACACTGTCCTTCAACCTCCTCCCATAATTACTTTATTTCCCATAAGCCCCCTCCCCATAATTACTTTATTTCCCATAAGGGAGCCCTTCCCCACTGCCACCACATCTCCAAGGCCACGTGCAAGCCCATCTTCAATTCTGGCCTCTTCCCACCAGCGCCAAGGGCTCTGCCTCGAGCCTAGCTCCCGGTGACTTCTTGTGTCTCAGGGCCCACCCCTTCCTCCTCCCTGAGGGCCTCAGCCTCCCAGTGATGTGTTCTCACTCCAGGTCTGCCCTTCTCTCCGGTTTATTACTGGTGCCACAGTAAACACTGACTCTCATATCTAAAAAACAAACAGTCCCGGGTCAGCACTGTGGTGCGCTAGGCTAAGCCTCTGCCTGTAGTGCCGGTATCCCATATGGGCAGTGGTTCATGTCCTGACTGCTTCACTTCCAGGCCAGCTCTCTGCTGTTGGCCTGGGAAGGCAGTGGAGGATGGCCCAAGTGCTTGGGCCCTGCACCTCATGTAGGAGACCCAGAAGAAGCTCCTAGTTCCTGGTTTTGGATTGGCCCAGCTCCGGCTTTGTGGCCATTTGGGAAGTGAATCAGTGGATGGAAGACTCTCTCTGTCTCTGTCTCTGTCTCTATCTCTGTCTCTCTCTCTGTAACTCTGTCTCTTGAATAAATAAATCAATCTTTGGAAAAAAAACTTGCTTTCACATCTCTGTCTACTCTGTTAGTTTAATGCTTTTCCTCTGCTTCCTTTTTAAGCAAAACTTCTTTTAAAAAAATTATTTATTTATGTATTTGAGAGGCAGAGTTATAGGTAGGAGCCTGGAGCTTCCTCTGGTCTCCCACGAGAGTGCAGAGGTCAAGCCATAGCAGAGAGCTGGATCGGTAGAGGAGCAGCCGGAACTAGAACCGGCAGGCGTACGGGATTCGGGCACCACAGGTGGAGGGCTAGCCCACTACGCCACAGCGCTGTCCCCTGAACAGAACTTCTTGAAGGAGCTGGTGTGGTCAGCGGCCTTCTCCTTCTCTCCCATGTTACTTTGGCGTCACCTGTGGAGTTTCACGGAAACAGGTGTCAGGGTCAGTGAAGACCGTGTGCCGTCCTCGTTGTGCTGATCCCGGTGGAGTCACGGGTTTTCTCCAAACTTACCTTCTACCTCCACTTGCTGATAATGCCCCAGGGTTGTTGTTGTTTGACAGGCAGAGCGGACAGTGAGAGAGAGAGAGAGACAGAGAGAAAGGTCTTCCTTTGGCATTGGTTCACCCTCCAATGGCCGCCGCGGCCGGCGCACTGCGCTGATCCGAAGCCAGGAGCCAGGTGCTTCTCCTGGTCTCCAGTGGGGTGCAGGGCCCAAGCACTTGGGCCATCCTCCACTACCTTCCTGGGCCACAGCAGAGAGCTGGCCTGGAAGAGGGGCAACCGGGACAGAATCCGGCGCCCCGACCAGGACTAGAACCCGGTGTGCTGGCACCGCTAGGCGGAGGATTAGCCTATTGAGCCGCGGTGCCGGCGATGCCCCAGTCTTTAACACCAGCTGAGGGCATTCTTCCAAGCTCTGCAGTTCCTCCATCTACCAGCTCCATAATCACCCCTGGATGTCTTTTCCCATCACAATCTTAAAATAACCAAAAATAGAGCTGATATTCTCAGTTCTCCCTCAGAATATCTCTGTATCAGTGTGTTTGCTTAACCTAAAGGGCTAGGAGTTATCCGTGCTTCTTTTCTGTCCACCCCGTGCCCCTCTCCAGGTCATCAGTCAGCCCTGGTGGCTCTCCCTCCTGCAGCTTTATCAAATCCATCCACTTCTCACCTTCCCTCCCTGCCCCCCCAGTCACGCGTGGCCTGTTGCCGACGCCTCGGGACCTCCTCCCTGCCTTTCTGTGCCTGCCCCCTCCATCTCAAGACTACAGCACAGCTGATTCCCTCCCTACCTTCCTTGGCTTTCCAGTGCCCTTCCGATAATGCCATGCTCCTCATCAAGGACCCTAACCTCAAGGACCCTGCCTCTCACCTCAGCTCAGGCTATCCTCAGTTCCAACAATGTCACGTTCTTTTTTCTTACTCCATTGTGCACCTTTAGGCTTGTTCCTCCTCCTACCCCTGCCCTTGGCTGGCTTCCTGTTTGAGGGGCTGTCCACACCTTATTTATTTCTGCCCCTAGGAGAAGCTGCAGTTGCTCCTCTTGTTCAGAGGCTGCTTCCCTCCCTGGAGTGTCAGCCCTGTGGGAGCTGAGCAGATCTGACGTTGGTCATCCCCAGTGGGCAGTACAGTGACCAGTGAACCGTGGTCACTCAACAGACGCTTATTTTGAATGAGACAGTAAATACATGAATACGTATTTTCCATTGCATTCTTTCTTTTTTGAAAAATTTTATTTATTTGAGAAAAAGAGGGAGCTCCCATCTGCTGGTTCACTCCCAAAATGCCTTGTGACAGCCAGGACAGGGCACGGGCTGAAGCTTCAAGCCAGGAACTCAATCCAGGTTTCTCACGTGGGGGGGCAGGGACCCTAGTACTTGAACCGTCACTGCTGCCTCCCCAGATGTGTTAGCAGGAAGCTGGAATCAGGAACTGGAGCCAGGACTTGAGTGGGACAGGAGTATCTTAACAGCTAGGCCGAACACCGGCCCCCTGCCTTATTTCTAATGGATGCGTAGTATCCCATTGTATAAAGGTAACTTAATTTACTTAACCTTTGTCTTGTTGATGGATATATTTGTTTCCAATGTTTCACCACACTCTAAGGGAGGAAGTAATTTAAATGAATGTCAGGAATATGGTTGACCAAACTGTGGACCATTACAAAGGCATTTAAAATCACAGGAAGCACTTTGGGTTAACATGAGGAAACGAATATTTTAAATGAAAAAAAGCATGATATAAAATCACATTTGCAGCCTGATATTAATAACATAAAAGTATGTGGAAAAGTTAGTAAGAAATGAGCTAAATTATGCATTTCAAGCTGGCAGGATTACAGATGATTTTTTCTTTTTGATTGTTTTTAAGTATACAAGTAATACATGGTATTTTTTTGTTTATACTTTGTGTTTTCCAAGCTTACTGCAGTGACTGTATTTTTTTAATAATGAAGGAAAAAGTTCTCAAAAACTTCAGAACACCTTTTAAAAATGTTTATTTTTATCTGCTTGAAAGGGAGAGAGAGAAATCGAGAAAGATCGATCGTCCATCCACTGGTTCTCTTCCCAAATGCCTACACCAGCTGGGGCTGCGCCAGGCCAAAACCAGAACTCCATCTAGGTCTTCAGTGTGGGTGGCAGGGGCCCAAGCACTTGAGCCATCTTCTGTGCCTCCCAGCATGCATTGGCAGGGGGCTGGGTCAGCAGTGGAGTAACCAGGCTCCAACCTGATGTGGGATAGGAGTTTCCCAAGCGGTGGTTTGACTGGCTGCACACAGCGCTCACTCCCAGAACACGTGTGACACACAAGACACTGAAGATCACTGCAGACAGGCAAAGGCAGAGCGAGGAGGCTTCATGCCCTGGAGAAAGATGGAACTGCTTGCCGATGGCCACTCCGGCCGTGGGCCACTCCCGGTTTGTGTTTTGCTGGTTTAGAGTGGCAGGTGGGGTATTCCCTAGGAAGCCTCCGTGGCTGGTTGGGTGTGTGCTTGTGTGCGGCTGTGGTTATGAACTGGGGCTGCCCGAGTGGAGATCTGGGGAAGGGAGGGAGCCTTCCACAGGTGCGCCCAGGTGCTCCTCACACCCAGCGTGGCTGCCGGGGACCAGCCTGAGACCGTGTCACAGCCTTCCACTGACCTGACACCTGCGGCTCTCACACCCAAGACCTCCTGGGGGTCCGTAAGGTCAGAACTAGCTTCACGCTAGGTGCCACTTGCCGTTTTCACGGCCATGCTCTCGTGCGGGCTTTTCCAGCGGCCGTGATTCCCAGCAGAGCTGCAAAGGCAGATCGGAGAGCCCCGCTGGCTTCTCTGAAGTCAGACTTCATATTGCAGACTTGGGGGACGGTGCCACTCTTTCCCCTAAATTCTCTATTGGGGAAAATATGGGTATTTTCCATTAAAATACCGCTGATGTTAACATACAGTGGGCTTATTTTTATTTTAAATGAATTTCATTAATTTGATGTCTCCATTTAATTTGTGGTATGGTGAATGTTCATAGATATTTACCCTCATGAATGCGTACTCTTTTGTGTATTAATTTTTGAAGTATGAATAAGTCCTGAGACTAAAATATTTGAGAACCACTGAACTACAGAAATGGGAACAGGGGCTAGAGCTGTAGCATAGTGGGTAAAACCACTGCCTGTAGTGCTGGTATCCAGTATGTACGCCAGTTTGAGTCCTGGTTGCTCCACTTCTGATCCAGCTCCCTGCCAATGTGCTTGGGATAGCAGCAGCAGATGGCCCAAGTCCTTGGGCCCCTACAACCGTGTAGGAAACCTAGAAGAAGCTCCTGGCTCCTGGCTTCAGATCAACCCAGCTCTGGCCGTTGCAGACAATTAGGAAGTGAACCAGCCGATAGAAGATTCTCTCTTTCTCTCTCTCTCTCTCTCTCTCTCTGCCTTTCAAATAATAAATATTTGAAACAAAATGTGAAGAGAACTATTTTATGGTGAGTTGACTGTGGCTCAGTCAACAGATTGGTTGAAATAAAGTATAGGGGAAGTGGCCTGGTCTAATAGACAAGTATGGAAGCCATTGAAACACTGAACTCACCTGTCTTCCTCTCCCTCCCCTTCCCGTCTTCCTTCCTCCCTCCTCCTTCCCTCCCTCCCTCTCCCTCCCTCCCTCCTCCCTTCCCCCTCCCACTCTCCCCCTCCTTCCCTCCCTCCTTCCTCTTTTCCTCCTTTCTCTTTTTTAGAGATCATGCATGATGTGATCAAGAAGGTGAAGAAGAAGGGGGAGTGGAAGGTGAGTGGCCAAGGATAACCAGTGGGGAGTGACCCTAAAGGTGAGTGTTTGTCGGGACACAGACGGAAGCAGAGCTGGAGGAGAGGCGTCAGGCAGGGTTGAGGGCTTCGCTGTGTCCAGAGAGTGTTAAAAAGCTCCTGGACTGGAGAAAGTTACTCTGCTCTGCCTCTCATTTAAATGATCTTGGTTAAGAATTCTCTTGACCAAAAGCTTATCTTAAAGTTCACTGGTCAGGCAGAGTGACTTCAACCAGCACTTACCTGGCACCCATTAGTAAAGCGGGTAGAAGTAACTGTTCTGCTCGCTGTGAGAGAAGACAGAGACCCTTCTTTGTGGCGTAGAGTACCTTCCTGGGGCCTGTGCAGCAGTGTGAGAAACCTTGTCATCTGTCTACCCCCATCTGCTGAGAACTGTGGCAGCAACTCACAAGCAAGTTAGCTGTGTACTCATTTAGGAGGGAGGCAGTCAGACTGATGGTGGCCCGGGGACACACGGTCTCCGGGCGTGAATTCAGCACTTTGCAGGTCGCTGGTTGTCTAGGCAGGAGAGCGAGCAGTTTCACTGGGGCTTCCTCACGTGTTGCTGAAGGGACTATACCAGCCACTTCTGCTCTCAGATTTCCCTGCAGTCAGGAGCCCATATGTTTTCGAGTTCCTTGTGCCTGGGAACCATAGCTAATCCACACAGGAGCATTGGGAAGCTTCACTCCTGGCCTTGTAAGATTGCGTTTCGGCCAGCGTTGGTATCCCTACCACCCAGAAGGGAGACCTCTGGTACGAGCTCTCTTTCCCTTTTCCTTTCCTTTCTCTCTCTCAGATTGAATTATTTGAAATGTAGAGTGATGGGAGTGTGGGGGAGAGGGAGAGAAAGAGAGAGACATATTCCACCCTCTGGTTCGCTCAACCCACCCTCTGGGCCAGGCTCAAGCCAGGAGCTCCTTCATGGGTGGCAGGGGCCCAGGTACTCGAGCGTCTTCTGTTGCCTTCCCAAGTGCACCAGCAGGAAGCTGAGTCAAAGTGGAGTAGCTGGGGTTTGAACCGGCACTCCAGTATGGGATGCTGCCCTTGCAAACGGCAGTTAACCCGCTGCACTACAATATCAGTTTCCTTTTCTTTTTTCTTAGTATTTTGAGAGGCTGAGAGGCAGACAGATGTCTTCTGTTTGCAGTTTCACTCCCCAAGGGCCTACCATGGCTGGGGCCGGGCAGGGCCAAAGCCAGGAGCCTGGAATTCAGTCTGGGTCTCCCGTGTGAGTGGCAGGAACCTGCTGCCTCTCAGGGGCTGCTCCAGGAAGCTGACGGCAGGAGCAGAGCTGGATCTCTGCTCTCCAGCTCAGGTACTCTGATGTGGGACACGGCGTCTAAGCTGCAGTGCCAACACCTGCCCCTCTGGCAGGAGCTCGCTGCGTATCTTCCTCTCATGCGCTTCCCAGCAGTGACAGATTTGTGGACGTGCAAATTTTAAACTGATGTCGCGGTAGCTGGCATTCAGAATGAGAACCAACTGGCTCTTGTACTGCAGCAGAGAGCTTTCTGGTGCACACCCACTGCACAGTGCGTCTAGCGTCCATTGCTTCCCTATCGTTTATCTCGTTCATTAAAGAAGGAGAAGTGGCCTTGTTTAACTGCTGTCTTCCTCCCTCTACTGAGTGCTGGATGGAGATAGGAAAGGCTAGCTAAAGCATTGCACATGTGAGACTTGTAGGCCAGTTCTGGAAGGTTCTAGCTCTGCCAACATGAACCAAGGTTATGATGGTCCCGGGTGATGTGTGTGCTGATGAAGCTGCACGAAGCCCTCACAGGCCATCCATGTGTGTGGACACTGGTGTTCATTCTCCTTTTTTAAAAATTCATTAGGTAAGATTTATTTATTTATTTGAAAGGCAGAGTTAGAGAGAGAGCATAGGCAGAGGCAGAGAGAGAGAGAAGTCTTCCTTCCACTGGTTCACTTTCCAATGGCCACAGTGGCTGGGGTTGGACCAGACTGAAGCCAGGAGACAGAAGCTTCTTCCATGTCTCCCACAAAGGTACAGAGACCCAAGCCCTTGGGCTATCCTTCATTGCTTTCTCAGGCATATTAGCAGGGAGCTGGATCAGAAGTGGAGCAACTAGGATGCGAACCAGCATTCTTATGGGATACTGGCATCTCAGGCAGTGGCTTAACCTGCTACCCCACAGCACTGACCCCCCTCTCCCTTTGACAGTAGGTTTATGCTCTGAAAAAATACTCACTGATGTGAATCTCTCTGAGTGTTGGTGCCATGGTTGCATTTTCTATGGGTACCTATGTTTTCATGAAAAATAAAAACTAATATTTTTAAAGATGTATTTATTTATTATTTGAAAGGCAGAGTTAAAGTAGAGAGAGGCAGAGAGAGAGAGAGAGAGAGAGGTCTTCCATCTGCCAGTTCACTCCCCAAATGGCCAAAATGGCTAGAGCTGGGCCTGTAAAGCCAGGAGCCAGGAGCTTCTGGGTCTCCCATGTGGGTGCAGGGGCCCAAGGACTTGGACCATCTTCCACTACTTTCCCAGGCCATAGCAGAGAGTGGGATCGCAAGTGGAGCAGCCGGGACTAGAACCGGTGCCCATATGGGATGCTGGTGCTGCAGGCAGCAACTTTACAAGCTATTCCGCAGCGCTGGCCCCAAGTTTATAAAATTGAGTCAGTGAGAGGGACCTCTGAGTCCTAGAAGGTTGGGTGTAGATGCAGCGGTAAAAGCAGATATGTATTTCAGCTGACTTCCGGTCCGTAGGAAACACTTCTTCTCCAGCATTCTGTTTCTGGAGGTCTGAAGTCGGCACGTAGCCGACGAGGAGCGCTCACGGTGGTGCCCCGTGCCCTGGACTGCTCTTTCCTTCCAGGTGTTGGTGGTGGATCAGCTGAGTATGAGGATGCTGTCCTCCTGCTGCAAGATGACGGACATCATGACAGAGGGCATAACCAGTGAGTGCGGCGTTCTCTGTGCTTCGTTGTTTGCGCCTTCTCTCTGGAGCGCTCTACTCTTTCCTTATTAGTCTTCTGCCTGTATAGTATTGAGCTCCTGAGGGAGCTGGATCCCTAGCACAAGTCTAGTGCTAGGTGCTCATTAAATATCTGTAGAGAAATGCCTAAAGCAGGATTAAATCAAGAAAAATGGGCAGACCACCCAACAGAAAAAGGACCTGAACAGGCACTTGACAAAGGAGGAAATCTAAACAGCCAATAAGTACGTGAAAATGCCCACCCTCATTAGTGGTCAGGAAAATGCCATTCAAACCAGAGAGAGAGACCACTTACTGTTTTAACTTGACAGATTTAGAACACTGAAACTCTGGGAATGCCAAGTGCCGATGAGGATGGAGAAAGCGCCTATGTGACAGAATGTCCGTTGGTACAACTACCTTGAAAAACAATTGGCGTGTCCAGTGAGCCAGCAGATCTGAGCTCCGGCGTGTGCATGCAGGAGGCGTGTGCAGGAGCGCTCCCAGGGTGTTCCTGGGAGCCCCAGATGGGCAGTAACCCAAGTGTCAGGGAAAAATAGTGAAACCAGCCGTGGTGTAGTTACAGCAGAGTGCAGAATGGCAAAGTGGACGAACCCAGCTCTCAACAGCAGCATAGATCTGATTGACACAGTGCTGAGCCAAAGGGGCACTTAGAGCCCGCTTCCCCACGACAGGGTCGAAGCCCGGAAGGCTCTACAGAATGCTGGAATTCAGACGCAGGTGGGAACCCCGGAGCGGTGCTCGCCGCTCCGGGCAGGAAGGTGGGTCTCCTTGGAGGGAAGGCAGTTGTGGCAGCACACGGCGCGGTCCTGGCCGGGTCTCTTTCTCAGCTGGAGTGTGCTTACACAGACGTGTGCAATAGAGTTCTTTCTACGTTTATCTTTCATTCACTCTTTGGAGTGTGTGTTATAATTCCGGGGTTGTTGGCGGACCAGTAAGTTGAACTTTGTCTCAAAAGCTGCTCTTTCCAACCGAGCAGCTGGTATAACCCTGAAGGAAACCAGAAGTCCACGGTTTCCTTAACAAAGTATGATTTCATCTCGGAGCTGTTGAGAAGAGCGCTGTATACAGAGGGTGTGTTTGGGATGTTTTCATGTGATACCCAAAGGAAAATGACAAAATCCTCCCATTTTAATAAGGAAACTCAGCATGGAAATTCTGAGGGAAGTGGGGTTTTCAGGACAGGTGAGAGCCATTCCTGGCAGAATGAAGTAGCATTTTCCCTGTTGTCTCACGCTGGAGAAGGGATTTACTTAGGCCAAACTGGGCAGGAACACTCAGTGTGACCCGACGGCAGGCTTTCTGACACCTTGGGCACAGCGAGACGGTGGACGCACTGCTGAAGTGGGAACTGTGAGGGCGGTGACTCTTCTCCCTGACTGTGGATCTTTATCCATGCTGGTCTCCAGGTAGCCTGTGTTGTGCCGGGTTGTGTGATTGCCAGCGTGTTTCCTTATTCACGGTGGACTGTTTTATTGTCTAGTTGTGGAAGATATCAACAAGCGCAGGGAGCCCCTCCCCAGCCTGGAGGCCGTGTACCTCATCACTCCGTCCGAGAAGGTAACCCTCCCCACGGGCAGAGCCGGCACTCAGGTTCAGTGTGCCGACGTGGCGTCTCCGTGGCGCACTGCCTGCCGTTTCTGGGTTAAGCACTCACGTAGCACTCTGTAAGCTCGCACCCCACAGGTGGGGCGTTTGTACAGGGAGAGGTGGAGAGTGCATTAAGCTTTATGACGTGCAGCAGCTGTGCAGAAAGCCAGAGCTGGCGTCTGTGGCCCCGGCTGCCTCTCCAGGTGGGAGATCCACTTACTGCATTAGCGACCCTCCTCCAGACTCCGGTACCCGAGGCCCTCGAGGCCCTCGGGTTTGTCTTGTCAGTGTCCAGACTCACCTAGGAAATGAATCTCCTGGAGGGTTTATGACCAACTTCCTTTTCTGTGGGTCTCAGGGACCTGTCTCAGTGGCTCCAGAGGGCTGCTGACGCCGGCACTCTGGACGGAGCTGCGGAAGCTCTTGTTCATGGGAACTCTGAGGCAGTCCTCGTGTAGAGTCGTGAGGACCAGGCTGTGGCGGAACGCGTGTGTGAGAGAGAGCGCCTCCCTGTGCGGTGGCTGGAAGGCGGCCAGGGCTTACCCCAGTTCAGATGCAGGGCCCGCGGCCTCTGGAACTGGACTCAGCCCCCCTCTTCTCCCTGTCTGCAGTCCGTCCACTCTCTCATCAGTGACTTCAAGGACCCACCGACTGCCAAGTACCGGGCGGCGCACGTGTTCTTCACCGACTGTGAGTACAGCGTGTGCTGCCCGGCCGCTGGGCCAGGTCGGCTGACCCACACCCAGGCAGGGCGGTGGGGAGAGGTGGCTCGTGCCATGCTTGTCCCATCCTTCACTCTCTCTCGAGAAGTCGTGTACCAGACAAGAGTAAGTGCACTTAAATGCAAACCTAGTAGACACGCGTGCAGCCCTTCCTGGGGAGAGATGGCCCAGCAAGCACCTCTGGGACCGAGGGCTGAGTGCTGGGGAGGACTCTCCTGAAGCTACTGGTGTTCCGTCAGAAGTCACGGTGCTCTGTGGCGTGTGGCCGTCATTGCTCAGCTGCAAAGATACTCCTGTCCGTGGTTTTTCTATTAAAACCTTAGACGCTGCCCTGGAATTTATTTTATTTTGTGGGGTTGTGTGCACTGATCCTAGGGGAGAAGCAGATGAGCAGAGCTGGTGAGAAAACCAACAAGAACTCACCCAGCCCTCATCTCTTGCGGTGTTTATGTTAAAGGCTTTTCCTTATCCCCTCGTAATCTTTTCTGTTTTTTTCTTTGGTATCTCAGCCTGTCGCCCTTTTCTTCTCCATGATGTGTGGAGGGCCTTACAGGTGGTTTTGAATTCGTTTCATACCCTTTAGGTATGGAGTATCTTAGGATGGGGTAAACTATTTGTCTTAAAAACATGAGCATATCAGGAATCCGCTGGACACGTGCGGCTGCTGGGCGGAGCGGCAGAGGCAGGGAGCCGACGTCTTGTTGTCCTTGCAGCTTGTCCAGATGCCCTTTTTAATGAGCTGGTGAAGTCGCGAGCAGCCAAAGTCATCAAAACTCTGACGGAAATCAACATCGCGTTCCTCCCGTACGAGTCCCAGGTGAGGCCGAGCTGCGAGTTGTCTCAGGAACGCCGGGGTGGACCCTGTCCTGATCGCTGTCTCGTCAGTGTCCGTGGGGTCTGCCCGGCGCCCTGTCTTACTCTCGGCTGTTTCCCACTCTGTGCCTTTCTTCACGCATCCCCTCCCTGCTCCCACGTTCACGCCTGTGGCCGACTCCCCGAACAACCCAACAGGAGCCAGTCCAGAAAGAGCATGGGAGGAGAGGAGGGAAGGGATCAGAGCGCCCCATCTGCTGCCGAGAGCCTGTGTTTCTGTGGAGATAACCTCAGCCTGTCACGTGCCAGGGAACAGATGGTGGCCTTCGTCATTAGCCGTTAACCCTTCAGGTGCCAAGGGCCACAGCACCAAACCTCTGCCCTGGGGAAAAACCAAAGCTGTTAGCCAGGAAAGGCGAAGCAGATTGCGGGAGAACATGCGGAATTTATCCCAGCACTCCAGACGTGTTCCAACGTCTTCCAGCAAACACAACGGGATGTCCTGCGTTTTGCGGAGATAAAGGCTGACCGGGGCACGCTGGGTTTTTGTGGCTCGGCTTGTAGACCAGGCAGTGCCCTGTTCTGATTAGGGAGGCTCGGTGAGCACACAGCAGCCTGAAGCCCGTTTCCTGCTTGAGGGCAGGCATGCTTTTTCCTTCTGTGTGAGTCCATCACCACTTGGATGAATAAAAATATGCTTAGTGTATTCAACCAGATTACGTTTCCAAATATTAAAAAGCTAATAAACTCTTTTAGAAAGCTCAAGTCGATTAGAAGACCAAGGTAGTTTACGTACATGAGGACTTGGAGAGAATAGTGGTGGCTGGGAGACTCAGCAGAGTTTTTTTTTTTTTTTCCTAAGATTTATTTATTTTATTGAAAAGGCCAAGTTACAGAGAGAGAGAGGTAGAGAAAGAAACTGAGAGGTCTTCCATCCACCTGGTTTACTCCCCAAACGGCTGCAACAGCTAAAGCTGGGTCTGTCCCAAACTAGGAGCCAAGAGCTTCTCCTGGGTCTCCCACGTGGGTGCAGGGACCCAAACACTTGGGCTGTCCTCTGCTGCTTTCCTAAGCCACAGCAGAGAGCTTGATGGGAAGTGGAGCAGCAGGGACTAGAACCACTGTCCATTTGGGATGCCGGCGCTGCCACAGCACCAGCCCCAATCTTTTTTTCTTTTTAAGGATTTATTTATTTATATATGTCAGAATTACAGAGGAAGAGAGCGAGAGAGAGATCTTCCATCTGCTGGTTCACTCCCCAAATGGCCACAGCTACTAGGGCTAGGCCAAGCCAAAGCCAGGAGCCAGGAGCTTCTTCCAGGTCTCCCACGGAGGTGCAGGGCTGGGAGGAGGGTCCTGCGGCTCGCGGCTCGCGGAGGCGGTGATGTCTGCGCAAGGGCTGGGAAAAGGCGGGTGTCCATCACCAGCAGGGGACTTCCAGTGAGGGAACTGCGTGAGGCTAGGGTATCTGAGGGACATTAGCAGAGAGTTGGATGGGAAATAGAGCAGCCAGGACTCGAATCAGTGCCCATATGGGATGCCAGTGCTGCAATGGTGGCTTAACCCACTGTACCACAGTGCTGGCCCCTAGACTCAGTAGTTTAAGAGGGAATTTTATGCTTTGAGAATCCTCCTAAAAAAAAGAAGAAGAAAACTTGGAACGTACTACTGTGGGTGAGATGTTATTCAGTCTGTAAAAGCTCCTTCGTTGCCCACAGTCATGAAGCAGTTTCCAGCTGATCCCTTGTTTGTTAAAACTGAACTTATAATGGCCCATGTGGTGTTACACTACCCTGCTGTCCTCCTGGCCTCGTCCTTGTCCCTCAGATACCCTAGCCTCACGCAGTTCCCTCGCTGGAAGTCCCCTGCTGGTGATGGACGCCCACCTTTTCCCAGCCCTTGCGCAGACATCTCCGCCTCCGCGAGCCGCGAGCCGCAGGACCCTCCTCCCAGCCCTGCCGCATTTCCTTCCCCTGCTCCGTGACTTTCTCACGTGTTCACTGATTCTCAGTAGCATGCAAGACACTCTTTTTTTTTTTTTTTAAGATTTATTTATTTAGCCGGCGCCGCAGCTCACTAGGCTAATCCTCCGCCTAGTGGCGCCAGCACACCGGGTTCTAGTCCCGGTCGGGGTGCTGGATTCTGTCCTGGTTGCCCCTCTTCCAGTCCAGCTCTCTGCTGTGGCCCGGGAGTGCAGTGGAGGATGGCCCAAGTGCTTGGGCCCTGCACCACATGGGAGACCAGGAGAAGCACCTGGCTCCTGGCTACCGATCAGCGCGGTGCAGCCATTTGGGGGGTGAACCAACGGCAAAGGAAGACCTTTCTCTCTGTCTCTCTCTCACTGTGTCCACTCTGCCTGTCAAAAAATTAAAAAATTAAAAATTAAAAAAAAAAGATTTATTTATTTGAAAGAGTTACACAGAGCCAGAGAGAGATCTCCCATCTGTTGTTCACTCCTCAGATGACTGCAGCGGCCAGGGCTGGGTCAGGCTGAAGCCAGGAAACAGGAACTTCATCTGGTCTCCCGCATTGGTGCAGGGGCCCAAACCCTTGGGCCATCTTTGGCTGCTTTTCCTAGTCCATTAACAGGGAGCTGGATCAGAAGAGGAGCAGACAGCTGAACTGGTGCTCCAGGGAGATAGCACTGTTGTAGGTGGCACCGTTACCCACTTGCCACTACGCTGGCTCCGTGAGCCCTCTTCATTGTGTCAACTGTCTGCCTTCCCCTTCTAGTTTGCAAACTCCTCAGGGACGGGGTGTTTGGTCACTAATAGTGCCCAGCTATTTAGCGCAGTGCCGGCTGTAGTAGGCGCGCGGCACGCGTTTGTAGAATAGAGGAACACTCGCTCTGGGCTCGCTGCAGCTTCACCGCTCTGCGCGCACACGCCGTGCTTCTCCTCCTCCTCAGGTGTACTCCTTGGACTCTGCCGACTCCTTCCAAAGCTTCTACAGTCCCCACAAGGCTCAGATGAAAAACCCCATCCTGGAGCGCCTGGCAGAGCAGATTGCCACGCTGTGCGCCACCCTGAAGGAGTACCCGGCTGTGCGGTATCGGGGGTAAGCAGCGCAGCAGCCTGCCTCAGACGGCACCTGCATGAGGGGCTGTCCCGGAGCCCATCAGGAGGGGCTGTCCCGGAGCCATCGAGGAGGGGCTGTCCCGGAGCCATCGAGGAGGGGCTGTCCCGGAGCCCATCAGGAGGGGCTGTCCCCGAGGGTCCCGGCTTGAGGGTCTCTCACTGAAAATTCTCTTCCAGGAGTTTCGTTATCTTATAAATATTGCTTTTGTGAAATAGAGTATATATAGACAAGAGCATGAACGATAAATATATTCAGTTATTAGAAAACTAAAATGATTCCCTGTGTAACTGCAGCCCAGGTTTCCCTGTCTTTCTAGCCTTTAGGAGCGAAGTCCTTCGTTGCAGAGGTGTAGCAGAGTAAGGAGGAAAACAGAGTAATTCCTCCAAGGGCACCGTCCTCACGGTTAGGCACTCACTCGTCCGTTACTTGCTGTGTGCTGGGTGCTGGGGGACTTAAAGCTGATGACACAGCCCTGCCTGAGGCAGCTCCTGGCCGGGGGCAGGAGGCACTAAGCTGTGGATAGCCCAGAAGTGTGTGTACGGTACTGGCATCTGGAATACAGTGCTGCTGCCGGACAGGACAGGCCAAGTGCTGGGGCTCCTGGGCAGGCGGAGGTTCTGGGACAGCTTCAGGGTGGCAGTCACGTTGGAGCTGGGTCTTGAAGGGCAGGTTCAGATTTCAGCAGCCCTGTGAGGTGGGAGGTGGAGTGCGTGGACAGTCAGCTCCTGCAGTTGGAGTGAGCGAGTGCTTAGAGTTGGGAAAACCAAGGGCAGGTGCAAGGGTCAGTCTCTAGCACAGTGTATTTGTAGGGCCGTCATGGGGAGAGACAGAAGCGCTTCTGGAGGCCTCAGAGGTGAGGTTTGGGATTTTGTCCACTGTGGTTACCACTGGGTAACCTCTGGGGCACTGGGATGAGGGAGTGCGCGTGTGAGCTGAGGCGGGGGGAGGGGGGAAGCCAGCAGTGTGGAGGCTAAGCAGGGGCCACTGCAAGAGGGGCAGGGACAGGGGGGCAGGGAAAGCAGAAGCTGAGAGTGCACAGGTAGACTGCGTGCATCTCAGGAACCGTGAACAGAGCGGGTGGGCAGGAAGTGAGCTCGGCGGCGCCCACCATCCTCACTGCCCTCTGTCTGCTGGAACTTCCGGCCTTTGGAAAACATGTCCTTGTTGCTGCCCAGAGCCTGGCCTCCCAGTGTGTTGGCGTGGGCACGCTGGAGACGTAGCGGGTTCCATTCCAGGCCACCGTGGCAAAGCAGAGGTCACAGTGAAGCGAGTCACATAGAAGCTGTGCTTACGCTGTACTGTAGCCTGTGCCGTGTGCACCAGCACTGTGTCCAGAACACAGACAGCAGTGTACATCTCTGAACTAGAGAACAGCAAACGCGGCATGAAGTGAGGACAGCCGATGCCGCGGACCTTCAGGTTGTGAAACACACAGTGTGCAGGGACTGCCGTAAAGCAGAGCGCAGTGAAACGAGGTGTCCCTGGACCCCTGGCAGAAGCCGGTGGGAGTTCAGAGATGAGGCCCAGGTTGTGGCCCAGGAGCTGATGCCGGGACAGAGCTGCTGTGGTGCTGATGTTGGGAGGCAGGAGGCGGCCACAGTTCTGCACAGCTGGCAGAGCCCAGAGGTGCTGTCAGACTCGGCCCGGGGGAAGGGTTCCAAGGGTCTCACTTCTGTCCTTCCGGCTTTATTAGCCGAAATGCCACTCACCCGTGAGATAAACCCCACGGGAATCTGGATGGAAGGACATGAGAGTCACAGGGCCGGGCGCAGACAGGCTGACGCTGGGGAAGGATGAGTGCTGGAGTCCTCTGGGGGACCCTGGTTGTCTGCACCTGCTTGGCAGGGTCACTTCTTTTTCTGATTAAGTAATTTTAAAAAAAGGAAAAAGAAAATCATTTCTGTTTCAGGCATGTAGCCAAACACTTTATTTTCCCTTTTTCGTTAGACATGTGATCTATGAATATATTTTTGTTGTAAAAAAAAGTAACGTGGATGACACACACGTCTCCTACTCTCCCCACGGTGTCCTGGGTCGTTCAGGTGCTCAGCACGTTCACCTCTGTTGCTCCTTCTTTGTCAGGGAGTACAAGGACAATGCCTTGCTGGCTCAGCTAATCCAGGACAAGCTCGATGCCTACAAAGCTGATGACCCAACAATGGGGGAGGTAAGTCTGGGCCAGGACTGGTGACGCTGTTCGTGTGACAGCCGCAGGCCAGCATGCTGAGTGCTGCTTTTCCTCGTAGCGGCCTCTGGTGAAATGCCCGAAGCCCTTGGGCAGGGCAGCAGGTGCGCTCAGCAGACCCAGGGTGGCCGACTTGTTTCTGTTTGGTAGAGCTTTCCCTGTTTCAGCACTGAGCGTATCCTGGGAAATCTTCAGTGCTGCCATGCAAAACCAGAAAGCCGACCTTGCTACAACCTCCAGCCCTTACTCCGACTTTATCGGTTTTATGTGTACTCTGTGTGTAAAGTTCTGTGCATACATTCATGTAGCCACCACTACATGCCATCACTGCCTCGGACTTAAAGCTCGAAGTCCTCGGTCAGGCATGCTGGGCGCTTGGTCACCCTGTAGCTGGACACAGGGGGTGCATTCCCACGTGAACTCACTTCAACCCCAGCCAGTTTCAGACCTGCTGCCAGAGACCCTCCTCATGAAATGGAAGCATTGGAGCCTCACATGGGATTTCCTGCTGTTAGCCTCAGTGCTATCTCGTAGATCCAGAGTTCATTTATTGCTGCCCCTTTTATAAGAGGGCCTCTGCTGGGTTGAGAATCCGAGTGCCTGTTTCCTACCAGGGCCCGGACAAGGCGCGCTCCCAGCTCCTGATCCTGGACCGCGGCTTTGACCCCAGCTCGCCTGTGCTTCACGAGCTGACCTTCCAGGCTATGAGTTACGACCTGCTGCCTATTGAGAATGACGTGTACAAGTGAGTACAAGGCCACAGGCTCGAAGGGACCGTGGCCCTGCAGGCAAACTCAGCCACTTCTAGAAGGACATTTGTCGTACACATGTTCCCGTGAACTCTGCTTCCCAGCTCACGTGGCATCTCCAGGCATGAACTCGCGTCCCAGTTACAGGAGGACGGGAACTTCAGAGCTGTTGTCACAACTCGCAGTAGTCTGCTCTGTGTGTGCCTGTTCAGAGTTGATTAATAACACCAGTTTATGTAGAGTACAGTGCAATATTTTAACACACGTAAACAGACTTGAAACTTACTAATTATAGATCATGATATATAAAGTTGATTAACAAGAGTTTCTTCCTGAACTTTCTGTATAGTGGAGCTATTTTCTTCATTAAAAACATTTCTTTTGGAACAAGCATTTGGCCTAGCAGTTAAGACACCTCTTCCGACATCACAATACCTGATGTGTTAAATTCCCAACTCCAGCTCCTGACGCCAGCTTCCTGCTAATGCAGGCCCTGGGAGGCAGTGGTGGTGGCCCAAGTAGTTTTATCTCTCATAGTCACACGGGAGACCCAGATTGAGTTACTGACCCCTGGCTTTGACCCTGGCCCAATCCCACTTGTTGCACACATTTGGAGAATGAACCAGGAGATGGGAGATTCTCTCTCTCTCTCTCTCTCTCTCTCTCTCTCTCTCATAAGTACAATTTAAAACAAGCACTTTTTTGGTAACAGTCTTGAGAAACACAGCTTCTAAAAACTGATTTTTCTGTGTATGAAAGCATCACCTTCATGCCATTTTTAAAAAATATTTATTTGGAAGACAGAGAGATCTTCCACCTGCTGGTTCACTCCCCAGATATCCACAACAGCCGTCTCTGGGCCGAGAGCCGGGAACGCCATCCTGGTCTCCCACATCGATAGCAGGGCCCATCCACTGCCTTCTCAGGTGCATTAGCAGGAAGCAGGATGGGAAGCAGAATAGTTGGAACTTGAGCCAGTGCTCTGAGAAGGGCTGCCAGCGTTGCAAGTGGCAGCTTAACCCACTGTGCCACAACGCAGGTCCCCTCATGCATTTCTTTTATAACATGAATCCTGAAGATAGAGTGGTTTCAGAATGAAGCTTCTAAACCTATGCATGAATGTCTGCTCTTCTCTCCCTGCGGTACCTGGAACCCTGCTTCCTCCAGCTGTTCTTGACGTCGCCTGTAACAGTGAGCGGAGGGCCTGCTGCGTGCATCTGCCTCGAGCTGTTTAGGCCCCACACGCTTGGGGGGGTTGGGATCCAAGTCCTTCCGCAGAGTGTGACAGATCTGAGCTTTGACTTTCCCGTTAACTCTAAACCCACGTGCGACCTGACTCCATGCCCCAAACCGGGTAGAGCTCCTGTCAGCCAGCCCTACATATTTTAAAACAGAGCCCGAGGAGTTACAGCTGCGTGTGTGCCGTGCAGCCGACCTGAGCAAGTCACTCATGTGACCACTGGGAGCGGCTGTGTCAGCCCAGCAGTGATGGCACTGTGGGGACAGCGCTCAGCCTGAGCGGCTGTGTCAGCCCAGCAGTGATGGCACTGTGGGGACAGCACTCAGCCGAGTCTTCCCTCCCCAGGTACGAGACGAGCGGCATCGGAGAGGCGCGGGTGAAGGAGGTGCTCCTGGATGAGGACGACGACCTGTGGATCGCACTGCGCCACAAACACATCGCCGAGGTGTCCCAGTAAGAGCCCCCGCTCCCCAGGCGGGCTTTCTCCCCCCGGACACGGGGGACACCACCCAGGCAGGGGAAGGCACATCACCAAGGTGTCCCAGTAAGAGGCCCCGCTCCCCAGGCGGGCTTTCTCCCCCCGGACACGGGGGACACCACCCGGGCAGGGGAAGGCACATCGCCAAGGTGTCCCAGTAAGAGGCCCCCGCTCCCCCAGGCGGGCTTTCTCCCCACGGACACGGGGGACACACCCGGGCAAGGGAAAGAGCTCGCCCAGGTGTCCCAGTAAGAGGCCCCCGCTCCCCAGGCGGGCTTTCTCCCCACGGACACGGGGGACACCACCCGGGCAGGGGAAGGCACATCGCCGAGGTGTCCCAGTAAGAGGCCCCGCTCCCCCAGGCGGGCTTTCTCCCCACGGACACGGGGGACACCACCCGGGCAGGGGAAGGCACATCGCCAAGGTGTCCCAGTAAGAGCCCCCCGCTCCCCAGGCGGGCTTTCTCCCCACGGACACGGGGGACACCACCGGGCAGGGGAAGGCACATCGCCAAGGTGTCCCAGTAAGAGCCCCCCGCTCCCCAGGCGGGCTTTCTCCCCACGGACACGGGGGACACCACCCAGGCAAGGGAAAGAGCTCACCAGTGGGGAGTCCACTGCCTTGGCGAAGTCAGCAGGATGCTAACCAAGGATGGTAAATTCTCTGTTCACTGAGCTACCCTGATTTCATGGAGTCAGAAAGTCCATTTGGTATAAGGGTTGCTTTTAAGATTCTTGGAAAGAATTCATACCCCTCTCAGAAAAATGCTTTATAAACATTAAACATTTGAATGTTGGTCATTCTGGGGCCAGGCATTTGGCCTAGCAACCAGATGCTGGGTGACACACCTGCGTCTCGTAGCAGAGTGCCCGGGTTTGATTCCCAGCTGCCTTCCTGGCTCCAGCTTCCTGCTTGCATATCCCGGAGGGAGTGGTGATGGCTGAAGTAATTGGGTTTCTGCCACTCAAATGGGAAACCTGGGTTGAGTTTTGAACCTTTGGCCTGGCCCAGTCCTGGCTGATGCAGGCATTTGGGGAGGAACCAATGGATAGGAGCTCTCTGTCTCATATAAATTTAAAATCAACAACCAAAGCGTTCTGTAATCACAATGATAATAATAAGCAGTTCATCCCCGAAAGAGCTAGAACCACTGTGTACACTGTCGCCGCAGTCTCCCTTTCGGCTCACCTGCAGGTTCTGAGCAAGAGCTGATGTCAGGCACCTTGCCCTGAAAATGTTTCAGAATGTTTCTTTTTTTTTTAATTTTTTTAAAATTTGACAGAATTATAGACAGTGAGAGACAGACAGAGAGAAAGGTCTTCCTTCCATTGGTTCACCCCCAAAATGGCCACTACAGCCGGAGCTGCTCCAATTCAAAGCCAGGAGCCAGGTGCTTCTCCTGGTCTCCCATGGGGTGCAGGGCCCAAGCACTTGGGCCATCCTCCACTGCACCCCCGGGCCACAGCAGAGAGCTGGCCTGGAAGAGGGGCAACCGGGACTAGAACCCAGCACCCATATGGGATGCTGGCACCGCAGGCGGAGGATTAACCTAGTGAGCCACAGCGCCAGCCCCTCAGAATGTTTCTAAGAACTGGTTCTAGCAGGCCTGCCGATTCCGAAAGACACAATCTGCTACAGGAGCTGCCCTGTCCTTGGGAAGTTAAGGACGTCTGAGTGAGTGGTGCTGCCCTGGGCAGTGTGGAGGAGTGGTCTCCAGACTCTGACTGCTCAGCCTTAAGATGCATGAACCCACACTTCCAGCAATAACATTTGTTGTGAGTTAAACACCTGCCTTGTATTAGCATGTGGATTTTACAACAGAGGTGTTTATTTTTCAAGATTAATTTGAAAAGGATGAGGTGAAATCAGCATAGAGAGGTCCTCACATTTTCTCCTCTCTGCTCATGGAGCCGCCAGTACACCCCATTCTGGAGACCCCCAGCTGAGAATGTTCCAAAATGATGTCTCACCTCGCCTAGGAAATCACTCTAAAAGCGTCCCTTCCCGGCAGGAGAAGTGGCCACGCACTCCCAGAGGAAGAGGAGTGCGCGGCTCCAGCCCCTGAGGGCCCTCGGGGTCGCTGTGAAACTTAGCTGCCTCCTTCGTCTTGCAGGGAGGTCACCCGGTCTCTGAAAGACTTCTCCTCCAGCAAGAGGATGAACACTGGAGAGAAGGTGAGTCACGCCGGTGTTCAGCGCCCTGTCTACACCTGGGACAGGGCACGTGCCTCCTTGCCACACAGCTAGTGAGTCTCAGGTCATAGTCCTCTCTTCAGTTAACGCCATTTTGTCTTGCTTTTACATTGAAGACTCTGATGCGGAGCTCCCAACTTACTTTATAGAATTTTTTGTTTCTCTGACGGTTACTGTTTTGACTCATTTTTTTAAGCCAGAAGAACCATGAGAGATCACAGTTGCTGGTTCAAGGCCACGCAGGCCAGGGCTTGACTGAGGCCAGAACCAGGAGGCAGGGACTCGAGCTGGGTCCCCCACGAGGATGGCAGGAAGACGGCTGCTTGAGCCATTACTTGCTGCCTTCCAGGTCTGCATTCACAGGAAGCTGGACTTAGGAGCTGGCAGCAGACTGAACCCAGTCCCTCCAGTGTGGGACGTGGGTGCCCACTGCTGGGCCAAACAGGTGCCCCTCCGTGGAGCTTAACGTGTAGCACAGAAGCCAGGCAGAGTAGCCATTCCCATAGGCTGGGTTCCCGCTATTTCAGAGGCTCATCGGGTGGGGTGGGTACACAAAGCAGAGGCACCTAATTAGGAAGGGGGCCAGGCCCGGGCCGAGACAACAGAATAGGGTGTGTGTGTGTGTGTGTGTGCGCCCTGCATCCAGCAATGCTTGGTGTGTGTGTGTGTGTGTGTGTGTGTGCGTGTGTGAGACCCACAGACCCGCCTGTCAGGATACGGAGTGCGGCCTTCTGTAGCCCTCTTGGCTTCCTGCCGTCTGCACGGCTGCACCTTCTCTGCTATGATGGGATGAAGCGCAGCACCGTGACTGCCTGAGCCAGGTGTGCAGAGAGGCGGAGTGTAGAGGAAAATGCTTTCTTCTTGACAAGAACCTCGTTCTCAGTAACTCCCTGGTCCAGTGAGCCTAGAATAAAGCGTGACTGCCAGACCCCCCGAGTCAGTGCCCCACCTGAAGATCATGCGTTTACACCGTGACTCTCTGAGACCGAGGCCTGGAAATCTAAACACACGCGACCTTGTGCTTACCAGACTCAGGTCGACTGGCAGAGCGTGCACGCGGCACGGGCGGTGCCGGCTGGTGCTCGGCGCTGGGCCTGCCGCCGTGCGACGCCTGTCAGGGCCTTCCGTTTGCCTTGCAGACCACCATGCGGGACCTGTCCCAGATGCTGAAGAAGATGCCGCAGTACCAGAAGGAGCTCAGCAAGGTGTGGCGCGTCATGAGTGACAGCGACGGGCACTGCCGGCCCCGCTGCCGCAGCCGCGCCGTCGACCCGGATCTGTGGTCCCCTGAACTTCATTAGGAAGAAAGAATGAGCGTGTGGACAGGCCGTCAGTTTTCCCGTCACTTTCTCTTTTCCTGTCACTCATTCTGCTGTTCCCCGCTGTTGGTGGGAGGCCCCTCTGCAGGGCTGCTGGAGTGTCCTCATGGCATGGCCATGGCTTCCTCAGAGCGAGTGAGCTGGGGAGGGGCAGGAGGTCACCACGCCGTTCATGTCCCCACCTTGGGCACCACGCGCCTTCCCTTCCCCCACAGCTTTGTGAGAGACAAGTCACTGGGTCCCGCTCCCACACAGAGTTCCCCACCCAGCCGCCCCTAAAAGGACTTCTCCTTCCTCTCCATTCTTTCAGAATGTGGTTTGGCCTTCTCCTGAGATGGAACGTTTTCTCCCTTGGGGTGCGCGTGTGCCTGCTTTGACATGTTTAATCTCCTTCCCGAGCCCAGACACTTCTCAGCACTAGTACAGTGTTCTGTATGCAGTAGGTGCTCAGTAGATGCTGCATGAATCCGTGAGGAATTCCTTGACAGCCACCTCTGTTGCACTTTTCCCTAGTATTCAACCCACCTGCACCTTGCTGAGGACTGCATGAAGCACTACCAAGGCACCGTAGATAAACTCTGCCGAGTGGAGCAGGTAGGACTTCCGCCGCCGCCTTCTTTTTTTTTTTTTAAGATTTATTTTATTATTTGAAAGGCAGTGTTGCAGAGGGAGAGAAGCAGAGAGAAAGAGAGATCTTCCATCTGCTGGTTAACTCCCCAAATGTCTGCATGGCCGGAGCTGGGCCGATCTGAAGCCAGGAGCCAGGAGCTTCTTCCGGGTCTCTCACATGGGTGCAGGGACCCAGGGACTTGGGCCGACTTCCACTGCTTTTCCAGGCCATAACAGAGAGCTGGACTAGAAGAAGAGCAGCCGGGACTTGAATTGGTGCCCTTATGGGATGCCGGCACTGCAGGCAGGGCTTTAACCCACTGCGCCACAGTGCCCACCCCTCACCTTCTCCTTTTGCTGTGGCAATTCTGCTGTGCCTGGTAACCCAGTCACATTCGTTTTAATGTTAATTTACCTACTGATTCTCATCTACTTAAAAGGCAGAGCAACAGAGAGAGAGAGAGACACCTTGCACCTGCTGGTTCACTCCCCAAGTGCCTGCCACAGCCATGGCTGGGTCAGGCTGAAGCTCCTCCGGGCCTCCCACGTGGGAGGGAGGGGCCCAAGCACTTGCACCATCACGTGCTACCTCCCGGGACGCAGATTGGCAGGATGCTGGATGGGAAGTGGGGGTGCTGGGGTTACAAACTGGAACTCTAGGAGGGAATGTGGGCGTTGCAAGTGTTGCCTTAACACACTGTGCCACAACACCTACCACCCCTTCCCCCAGTCATATTCGGACACCTGACCTTGACTGCCCTGCAGAGTCACAGGAAATAGAGACAGGAGAGCCTGCTGTACCACGTGATCTCAACCCTCTGGAGCCTGTGCAGTGCCGCTCGGGGTGGTGGGGACTAGGCTGGTGTGAATGCTGCACGGGCTGAGTTTTCCCAAAGTCTGATTTCCCAGGTGCGCCCAGAGAGGGATGTGGGGAGTTCTGAAGCTTACACCCAGAGGGCTGGCTGAATTCTATGTGCCGAATATTCTCCTCCTGCTGTGGCCAGAGCAGCTGTACAGACTTGGGCCAGGAGGGGATAGTGCCCAGGGGTCGGACACGCTCCCTAGGCCTCCTTCACACTTAGCACCGGAAGTTGGGGGTTTGGGATTGGAGCTCTGTCCCTGTCCCTAATGTGTTTGAGGTGCCTGTTGGTCTCTCCTTTGTTTTCCTCATCTGCTTTTGCACATTGCTGGCACGTTTTTCAGGGTGTTGTGTGGAATCCCTCATCCTGGCCCTCCATCCTTTTAGTATGACAGCATGCTAAAGCACGGGCCAGCTTCTGAGGGGGGAGAGGGCGTCCAAGCTCCCGAAGCCTCAGCAGAGTCCCTTTTCACAGGAAAACCCTGTTCTCGGGCTTGTGGTTTTCTCACAGGAGAAAACTCCGTTTTCAGTGTGAAGCTAAGACTGAAGCTCTGGCTTCGTGGGCAGCCTCCGTGTAGGTTTGCAGGCCCTGCTCTGTGTTGCTGTGTTGCCAGGGAAGGAGCCCTGCTAACCTCGGTTGGTTACAGACGATCCTGGCGAGCATGTCCTCTCTGAGCGAAAGGGCACCTGAGTGAGTAGGGATGCAGGTGGAGATCAGACTCCAGAAGCCTGACATTCCTTGGGCGCGCTCAAAGCTGTGCTGGAACTGCTGTCAGAATCTGTGCTGTCCAGGCTGGTGTAGGACCAAGAGGCGAAAGGGCCCATGGGAAATGTCAGCTTCCCCTAGACCCAGGAAAGGCCGTGAACTTGAGCTCATAAAGTGTGTGCTCCTGGGGCCTTGTGAGCAATAGGCTTCCCCAGCCAACTCGTAGGACCTGCAGAGGATCCTGGTTGTAGCCATGGGTCCCTGGGCACAAGAATGAAGGGTTCCTGGTTTGCTGGACCAGCCTGCTGCCCACTCGGACCCACGTCTGGCCTGAGGCGTGAAGTAGGGCCGGGCGGTTGTGCTCCTTTCAGTCTCCTTCATTTCCTCCTCCATCTCCTGGAATTCTTATTTACAAGTTTAGGAGCCTTTCCCCCCTCCCCCCTTGTCAAATAGATGAAAATCAGACTAAAACCATGGAGTACTTAGGACTCAAAATATCAAGGCTGTTCATGCCAAGGAAAGCAGAGTGAAAAGAATCTAGCCACGTGAAGTGTGTGCTTTTAAGCCCTGACCCTTGAGCACAGCCTTGTACCCCCAGGGGACTACAAGCCAGAGTCTCCCTGAGGAGCTGGCACAGGCACACTGACCCTCACCTGCAGGGAGCAGGATGGCAGGTGTCTGGTTTCTGGTTGGAAAATGGCAGCCTGGGCTTTCACCTGTGCCCACTGTTGCAGTAGGAAGTGGAGCCGCAAGCACTCCTGCCGACTGCCATGTGCCTAGAGAGCAGCACCTGTTACTACCCTCTCGGCCAAGCAAAAATCCCAGACTCTTTTTTTTTTTTTAAGATTTTATTTATTTATTTGAGAGGTAGAGTTACAGACAGTGAGAGAGACAGACAGAAAGGTCTTCCTTCCATTTGTTCACTCCCCAAATGGCCATATCGGCTGGAGCTGCGCTGATCTGAAGCCAGGAGCCGGGAGCTTCTTCCTGGTCTCCCATGCAGATGCAGGGGCCCAAGCACTTGTGCCATCTGCTACGGCTTTCCCAGGCCATAGCAGAGAAGAGGAGCAGCCGGGACTAGAACTGGTACCCATACGGGATGCCGGTGCCACAGGCGGAGGATTAACCTACTGTGCCACAGTGCTGGCCTCAATTCCAGATGTTTATGGATCATGAATTTTCTAAGAGCCACTGTCACCAGAAATAGGGCCAACAGGGGTGTTTCCTACAGGACCTGGCCATGGGCACAGATGCCGAGGGGGAGAAGATCAAGGACCCCATGAGAGCCATCGTCCCCATTCTGCTGGACGCAAACGTCAGCACTTACGACAAAATCCGCATCATCCTCCTGTACATCTTCTTGAAGAATGGTAGGAATGGCGGGAGAGGGGAGAGGGCGGGGAGTCGTCTGAGAGGTGTGCAAGGGGAGGAGAATGGAGATCCCAGGGGCTCCTCCTGTTCTGGGAAATGCAGGACCTCTCGGGGGCGGACTGTCGAGTCTGCGAATGGGGTGAGCACAGAAGGCGCCAGGGCTGGGCCAGCAGCCAGGAACTCCAGCTGGGTCTCCCACATGGTGGCAGGGACCCAAGTACTTGGGCCATCACCTGCTGCTCCCGGGTGCATTAGCGGGAAGCTGGATTGGAAGTGGAGTCTCCACCTAGGGCTGCATCCCGGGCACTCTGACATGGAGGCGTAACCTACCCTAACTTATAGCACGTTTGTAGTTTCTGCATTTAAAGCACTGAGGTCTACCCATCCGTTGTCCAGGAGCACCCACCGTGTAAAAGATGGTAGTGAGGTGCTCTTGTGCGACCTAAACTGACACAGGGCGGGGTGGGCAGGGCTGGTGAGCAGTGGGGCACAGGTGAACTTGCAGCTGCAGGAGGCAGTTGCTAATGGTCATCACAGGACAGAGTGGCCTGAGCAGAACTGGAGCCCTTGCTTCCTCCTTGCCTCAAGGCAGGTTGACGGGTGAACGATGAGTCCACTGAGTGCGAGGATGGGGGAGGTGGCCACCCGCTTGCACAGGAGCTGTGATGTGGGGTGGGGTCTGGTGGCAGTGTCTCGTGCTCACAGGTATCACTGAGGAGAACCTCAACAAGCTGATCCAGCACGCCCAGATCCCCCCGGACGACAGCGAGATCATCACCAACATGGCGCACCTGGGCGTGCCCATTGTCACTGACGTGAGGGCTGGCTGTGTGGGTGGGAGGGCCGGGAGGGGTGCTGCATGTCCTGCTACTCCTGCCCTCACTGACCAGCACACAGCACCCAGCACTGAGAGAGGACAGGTGAAATCAGAGAGAGGCACGTGGATGCACACAGTCCTGGTCCAGTTGGGAACAGGTCGAGGCAGGTGGGTTTGCCACCCCTGAGCTTTCTGCATGGAGCTGTCCAGGACCCAGTCAGGCAGGTTGTCTGGGGGGCCAGACCACACGATGTGCTCTGGGGGAGGCTGGGCAGGGCCGAGCCTCCAGGGCCCTTCGAGAACCCTCTGCCGCGACCTGTGTGCTCCTGTCCACAGTGAGCTAACCACAGACTCCCTGTGGGACGGTGAAGACAGAAGCTCCTTCCTTTGCCACCAACCGTAGGCCCCTAACTGGCAGGAATTTGACTTAGAGCCTTGTCCTCCAGAGGGATCCAGCTGATAACAGCAGTGATTCAGTGCAGCCTGTGCAGTTGAAATGAAATCGAGGAATAAGTCGCCCCTAAAGTAGTATTTTCCCCTATAATAAACAGCAAACTGCTTTTTTTAACTCCTCAGATTTTTTTTCATTTTTTTGGAAAGGGAACTCTTGTTACTATTTGACCCACATTTGTCGTTTTTCATTAAGAATCAAGTTTGCTCCAGGTTCCTAAACCCAGGACATTCGGGGCTGTTCAGAGGCAGCCACCCCCTTAGCTCGTGTTTTCCAGGGCTGACATCGCAGGGGTCCTTGGGAGAGTTCCCAGAGGCGGCAGGGGTCAGCATGGCCCAGGAGGCCCTGACGCAGCGTCTAACTGTGTGTGTGTGTTTCCTTTCAGTCCACATTGCGCCGCAGGAGCAAGCCCGAGCGGAAGGAGCGCATCAGTGAGCAGACCTACCAGCTCTCACGATGGACCCCGATTATTAAAGACATCATGGAGGTCAGTTGGTGGGGGAGGGAGCCAGGCCATGGCTCCTCCCTGGGTGCCCAGGTGCACCCCAATTCACCTGCCCTCAGGTGGCAATGACACCTGCAGGTTCTCCCCTTGAGGATTTCACCAAGGGATGTGGTGACGCCACACAGCACGTCCCGGCTGGGCATGGCAAGGCCTCTGGAGTGTGACTGTGGCTTGCACCTGCCTTCCCCCACAGGTCCCCTCCCGAGCCCGCCACACACCAGCAAAGCAGACTCCTGCTCTTCTGCTCAAGCCATGGCCTTGCCTGGAATGTTCTCACTGTTCTTTGCCTCCTGAGTTCCACTTTTCTTCGCAGTCCCCATCTGGTCTCAGTGTTCCCGTACTCTGCCCCACCTGTCTCACACCCAGTACCGTGTGGAGGCTCGTCTGAGCTCGTGGAGGGGGGGGGGCTCGGCGTCTGCAGTTGTCTGTTCATGCAGTGACCCTGTCCCCTTGACTGCCCTGTCCTCTGACACACAGCTTTGTGTGTAGCCAGAGAGCCATGTTTGTTGGCTGTAAGTCTGTGTCAGGGTGGACATCACAGAGCCCCGTGGTATCCTCTCTTCCCTCCTTGCAGAGGGAAGAGATTTGGCCTAGAATCCTGTACTGCGAGGGCTTTGGGATTAGGCTCAGAGATCTGCCCAAGCTGCCTGCAGACAGGCGGGCAGAACTGAGTGCAGAGGATGGCGGGACTGGCCCACAGTCCCTTAGCTGGTGTGCAGCAGCCCAGGTGCTCCCACCGAATTGCACAGTAAAATAAATAATTTTACATATATAGGGTGACTCAGCTTCCTGTTTTTAAAACCTGTAGACCTTGTTTTGCTTGGTGCCACAGATAGGACCAGCCCCTCTGTCTCATTCCCTCTTTTGTTCTCTGCCACCTTTTCCTCCCCGTCCTCCCCACCCTCTAAAGAGAGATAGCTGTTAGAAGGACTGTGGGTCTGCAGGCAGCGGAGGTAGGTAGCTGGAACCCACCCACCAGATAATTAGGCCCTTGGAAGGGCGGGGCGAGGCACTGGGGCGGGAGAGCGCTGCCTGTGCCCGGCCCCTTCGCCGGTGCAGACGCCGGGATTTAGGGACTGCTGCAGCCCTTGTGACTCACCTGGGTGACAGAAAAGAAGCAGGAGAAACGTTGTCAACCTAAAGAGCACACTGTACAAACTTGGGTAGTGTGACAGCCAGGGACAGGGCGTGCCGGAGCACCGCGCCAGGCCCAGCAGCGGGAGCCGACGGAGGAGCTCTGTTGCAAACCAGGCCTCGCCTTTTGCTAACTGACTTGTTCTCTTGCGTTGGTTCCCGTCAGCCTCTTTCAGACAGACAGCGGACACAGCCTCTGTCTCTTCTTTCTAGGATACAATCGAGGACAAACTTGACACCAAGCACTACCCTTACATCTCCACTCGCTCCTCTGCCTCCTTCAGCACCACTGCTGTCAGGTAGGTGGAATCCCCAGCGGCGGGGGCAGCAGGGACAGCCGTGTCGGGTTGGATGTCAGCTCTGTGGTGGTTCTGCCGTGGGGCGCTGGGACCCCCGAGAGCCCTCCCCCCTTTCTCATCAGTCAGTGCAGTCCGCGTTCTTCCCACTGCACACAGCCCTTCTCCCTCTGCTTTGCTCGGGCCTCGTTCCTCTTCACCTGCTCTGCCTCAGGCCTTTGCACTGGCTTTTCACAGCCTGGAATGATGTCTCCAGATACATCCACGTGGCGGCCTGCCTCTCACCTCCTGAGGTCTTTAGTCAACGCTGCTTCTCTGACCTTCCCTAGTCACTCTGTTTAACATCAGCGGTCCACAGCAGCTGCATTCATAATAGCCCAAGTTTGGGAATAGCCCCGTCACCCATCCACTGATGAGTGGATAAGCAAAATGTGTGTCCATGGTGGCTTCTGAGACCAGGCGGGTGGACACATGAGCTGCAGAGGGCAGCGCAGGCGCAGGTCCCTGCACAGCTCCCAGGGCTGACATCCTTGGGATGTGCACCTCTGTCCATCTTTTCATGCCTTCCCCACCTGTCCTGTCTCTACTCCTCCTCTTCCTGTCTTTGCTCTGGCCTTTGCCTGGGCCAGAGGCCTGAGCCAGCATCTGTGGTGTTAGCATCGCCTCTGGTGGTGGCAGAGTGTTTGTTGCCAAGTAGTGCCACAGCCAGGCTGAGCGCCCACAGCGGGAGACAGATGGCTTCGCAAGGAAGCAGACTGGGAGAGGCTCCGTGTGGGCCTGGACGGTCCCCTGGGCCCTCCAGATTTGGAAGGTGACTGAGGCTGGCATACATCAGGAAGGAGGGCAGAGCATTTCAGTGCCCGGAGGAGACTGGCTCCCTTTGTTTTATAAAGATTATTTTACTCATTTGAAAGTTACAGAGAGAGGTAGAAATAGAAAGAAAGATCTTCCATCTGCTGGTTCACTCCCCAGACGGCTACAACTGCTGGAGCTGAGCCAATCCAAAGCCAGAAGCCAGGCGCTTCTTCCAGGTCTCCCACATAGGTGCAGGGGCCCAAGGACTTGGGCCATCCTTTGCTGCTTTCCCAGACATATTAGCAGAGAGCTGGATGGGAAGTGGAGCAGCTGGGACTTGAACCGGCACCCATATGGAATGGCTGCACTGCAGGCTGGGGCTTTAACCCACTGCACCACAGCGCTGGCCCCTCCCTTTGTTTTACTTTGCCATTTTCTTCACCTGGAAGGAACCTGCTCTCACTGTTCCACCCCTGCAGAGCCGTCACCCCTGGCTCCGCCGGAGGCTTTCGCGGCACAGCTCGGACCAGCCTCTGTCCCTTCCGCCCATGAGACTCAGTGAGCAAGGACTGTCTCTGGGAATGCGGTGTGGGGAGGCCCCGCCCACACGAGGCTCTCACGCAGTGCACATCTGTGCAGACCTCAGGTTTTGTCCCCACTGCCCGCTGCCAGCAGTGTCCCAGACAAGTTCAGAGACACTTGGCCTGGAGTGGACGCCTGAGCGAACCTCGTGATGTGTTAGAGCCGAGCGAGGCTGGCTGCTGCCTGCGTGTTTCCGAGAGGGCGACGAGGTCACGGCACAGGCGCTCACAGCGACTCTGCCAGCAGCCCAACTGCTTAAAAATGGCCTCGCAGCTTAATTCAGCCCACGCTCACTAAGTGCTGGTGTGTTCTCGGCACGGGTGTGCCGGTGAGCGTGTGGTCAAACCACTGGGTGTGGAGGGGTGTGTGATGTGGACAAACGTAACTAACCTCTCTCCCTCTCCTTCCTCCTCCATCTCTCCCCCTCCCTCCCTCCCTCCCTCCCTCTCTCCCTTTCCCCTCCATCTCTCCCTCTCTCTCTCTCCCTCCATCTC